AGCTCATTTTTTATTATTATGCTATCAGAGTTTAGCTATTTCTTTTAGTTTATAGGCCTATATATATATTGTGTTCGGAAATAAAACATGTTTAAATCATAAATAACTCAGCTGAATCTATTAGTCAGGTTTGAGCATTTCACTATAGAAGTTTCTAGTTTCTGTGTCAGTTTAAAGATTTTTATTAACTTAATTCATTTATTTTTATTATTCTTTATTCATTTATTTTTATTATTCTTTATTAATTTATCTTTAAACCTGTAGCTAAACAGCCAAATAGAAACTTTCTGAAATGATCAGTTACTCTGGGATGGTGGTGATAATTAGCTGTGAAAATGATTCGTTTTATTAATGCTTGCTTGTACAGAGACACGTGTAGCATTAACCAAAGCCACATGTCCACAGTGTTTACAGCCTGAGCCAAGCTAGCTTTCAGTGCATGTTGTAAATGAGCCACTAAGCTATAATACATGAATTGGAACATGTAAATAAAGAAGGAAGAGCACAAAACATTCAGGTTATAAACAAGGATAAAGTGCATGCAGCTGATTCCTTTTTGTTAACTGACGTGTAAACTGTGACAGTCAGGATCCACTTTGCTCTCCACATGCTTCCCAAACAGAGGAATCTTTCTGTCAGTGATTTGATTTTGCTCGTCTTAATCTTCTTAATCACTGTTTTTGAAGTTACAGATGCTCTTTTGTGGAACTCTTGGTGTTATGTACCATTATTTTTTTTACTTTTAGAATAATGTAACTTACATTCAATGCAAGAAGACGATGTAAAGACCTGAAGCCTGCCCCACAGCTGTGTGGAGATTTGGATCTATTTTAAAACAGGCTTTGGTTCTAAAATTAAAGCTGTGCTGATTTCAGAGACCCAAACCTGTCCATGTTGCACTTTTTACTGAGATGCATGTTTATGACTGTTAGAGCTGCACTTTTTCAGCATTTATCAGCTGCCGTGAGACAGTTTCTGCCTCCCTCTCACTGTAGATGGATGTAGCAGAGTTTAGGTTCAGTGTGTCTCTCTCAGCTTTATGCTGCATTTTGCTCTCAAGTCTATTGAAGGTAAGATTTCACTGCAATTAAAAAAGTAATAATTCTGAAATACTAGTTACTTAATTTCTTTAGAAAACATTTAAGCTTTAATTCATGTTAATCATCTTTTTTTGGCCGTGCTTCTGATGCGCTGTCACCGTGTTTACACTTGAGAGTAACAATTGACGGAAAAAGTGTGGACGTTATACCAGTTTTTAAATTGTGTTGATAGGCCACGTAAAACCAGAGTTGTGATAAAAATATATGCAATGTTTGGTTTTCTTTCGTTGTTTATATTTACTGCGGGGATAAACGGTAAAAACTGTGTTTTATAAGGAATAAGGTTTATAAGGTTTTATAAGAAAAACGCTCGAAAGCACTCTCCGCCTGTGAGCAAAAACAATACCAAAAAAAACCCCAGCATTTCCTATTCGTCGAAAAATGTACCATGTCGACCAATCAAAAAATGAATGATATAGCAACATGGCATTTAGATGTTTAGGAAAGAGGGAAGTTTTAGGAGAGACAGCGGTGTTTGGAGATGTGAGAAATTTGCGACGTTTAGCGCAAATCTTGTGTAGTTAGTGTGTAGTGTAGTCAATAGTTTTGTTGTGTGTGTCAGAACAATGAGGCGACTGATGAATGTTACAGGTGTTACATCCTGTTGTCAGGTCTGCAGGTATCAGGCTGGTGTTCTCCTTTATCTCATAGTGGACAGAAATTATTTTCTTGGAGTGGCACAAATAATTTGTGTGGCATCAGATTTGATGAGAACAGCTGATTGTTCTGTAAATAGTTTGAAATGTTTATTTAAAAAACGCCTTGGCTGCATTTTTAGGA